GGAAGACGGGCCAGTCGACAGCGCCGCGAATCCAGGACGAAGACGCGCGCCCTTAGACGCAGGGTCCCGCGCCCCTGCGCGACTGCACAATGAGAGACGGACGCGAGTCATTCCTCTGGGCGCCGCCGAGGTCGACGATGCAACCGGCCGTGGGAAAAAAGGATGGCGAGAAGGACTGGCGAGGAAATTTGACGGGCTGGACTGAGTTTCGCATTATCCCTGGCATGGCTATGAACGCCCGGGCCATGTCAATCCACCAAGTCCAACGGCAATTTCAACGGCAGCACACGATCCAGGAGACGACGAGAGGGCCACGGAAGTCAGAGAGATGAAGAGGACGAGGACGAGGAGACACCACTAGAGGACCCAAGAGCAAGTGTAGGCACGAAGCCGAGTGGCGAACAAATTAACGAAAGCGCGTCTGACCAAGTGAGTGGCGCGCCGGACAACGCGAACACAGGCGCGCGCCACGTTGAACCGGATGGGGCTTGACGCCGATGTAGCGGAGCGGTTGCTCGGCGCAGATGCGGGCGCCATTCAGGAGGTCAACGAGATCGGGGGGGCCGCGAGGTTGCGCGGCAGAAGCCAGGAGTCAAGCAGACTCACTGCCTATAGCAATACCACTGCGCGCAGTTTTCACCGGGCCACAATATTCCAGCTCGAAGAGATAATCGAAGGCGTATGTTTGCCATTATTACTTTGAACGAGTTGTGGGTGGAAGAAAAAACACGACGTCCGCCTGGGCCCCCGTCGGACGGGCGGACGCGCGAGCGCAGTGGCGCGCGCGGTCGCGTGACCGCTGGCGGCAATAATGCGAATGCGCGGGCGTCGCGGAGACGACGGCGACGGCGACGACGGCGGCGGCGCCTGCGTCGACGGCGACGACGACGGCGACAACGGCGACGGCGGCGACGACGAACGTCGCGGGGACGGCGGCGACGGCGCCCCGGCCCACGGGCGAATTTGCGCCCAGCCCTCAGCGCGTGTCTGCGCGGAGACGCCCGGGGCTCGGGCGCCGGCTGGGCGCTCGGGGACAGGGCGGCCGGCGAGATCATGGTGGGGGAAGAGGAGGAGCCAGCGCAGAGGAGGGCGCGCAACATCGCCACTAGCTTCGCGCATAGCGAAGGCCAGGACGTCCAGCCACGTCACTGGATCTGCGGAGCGCGCCAACGCCAGGGATGGCCGAGGACTCGATTGACGCGCGAGGCGCGCGAAGGCGCTGCAGAAGTGCGCCCAGTCACTGGGGTGGGCGCATGCGCCGTTCATCGGGAGGATGGCAGAGCACGAGCCTGGGGCGACGCGCCAGCGAGCGGATTCGATCCAGAATTCGCGTTGCAGGACGGAGAGAGGGAGATGGAGCAGCGCGGGAAGCGCGGGATCCATGAGAAAGTGCAGGAGGGAGGAGGAGTTCTGGGCCGTTACCGGCAACGTTCCTGCAGGCGCGAGGTGGGTTGACATGCGCAAGGGCGACGAGGTTCAAACCTGGACGCCGATCCCGCCTGGTGGCTTAGCAAGTCGAATGCAAGTCCACAGAGAAGAACGCTGCGCGGCCGCCCGTTCAATGGAAGCGCAAAAATCGTCGTTCTCCAAGGCAGCTACCGGAGATTAGTGCATAGCCGAGGGGGACGCGGGGCAGTTTTCAAACTTGGGCTTATAGACATTAGGCCCGCATGCTTGTACGCCGAGGCCAAGAAGGACCTCTTCATCGCACTGCCCTAAGAACAGGCATGCGCTGGAGGATGTTAAATTCAAGGCGCGGCCCCGGGGGCGCCGCCAGCAACTGGGGAGACTGCGACATGGATTTCCCGCGCGACATTGGCTTTGACAGCGGAAGGCGCTCCCCAGCGCGCTTAGAGGTGAAACGAGGCGAATCTGACGAACGGTTCATGGGGTAATTTTTCTTCACTGAGAAATGACGTTGCTTTCGATTGGGTCGAAGACGGGGCTTGGACATGATTCCGGAGCTAGAATCCGAGGCAGAGGTCCTGGGCCACTAGGTCAGGATTCTACCGGAATTCTGAATCGGATTGCGGCGTGGAAGCAGAACGCGTCATGGGATGAGGCGGATCAAAGGCATGCCGAGATGTGCATCGAACGGTTTAGCCTGGATCCGTACAATGAAAGATGCGATGTGCCATGCGAAGTGCTACCCGGCGAAGAATGGGCATGCGAGGAGCCCCCGCCAAATCGCGAAGCGAAGAATTGCCCAGGTTGCGTGGCCAGGGTAGATTATTTGACGCAGGACCGCTCGAAATTACAGTTTTCAGTTTAGGAGCTTGCGCGTTCTTTGTGAGTCCCAGCCCGAGGGCCGTCGGACAGCCTCACAAATTTGGGCAAGCACCCAAAGAACCACAACAGGTGAGGATACCAGGTTGCATCAATATCGCCTTAGAGAGTTAAAAGCGCGGACGGGCAAGGGTCTTGCAGGATGCAAGAAAGAAAACGCGGGCACCTACAAGCGGAAGAACAGTCTTGCAGCGATAACATGCGATTAAATCGTGGAGTTCGGCTCAGAACTCAGTCGCATTATTCTCCGGAGAAGCGGGGCATCACAGGTGGCAAAAAGGTGCCCCAGATGTGTCGGGGCATGCGTTTCTCAAGGCCTTTGCAGTTGATTGCGGTATCTTGTTACAGAGCGATTCAAGCGCAGCTGTTGTCATTTCGAGCAGGCGCGAGTTGGGCACAGGCAGGCAGATCGAAGCTTGCCAGCCTTGGTTACAAGAGAAGGTAGGGCGAGGAGACATCAAAGTGTCCAGAGCAGGAACTCCAGAGAATCTTGCAACTGCTTGAACTAACTACGTGAGCAGGGAAATCATGTCCGTGTACATGCGAGGTACCAACCAGCATCTTGAAACCGGAAGGCACGAGCTCGCGACATCTATGGAGTGGTATTTCATTCCGATCCATGTCCGGGTTATCATCGGAAGCCGCGTCGCCGGGGACTTGTGTGCAGGATTATTTGAGATCCAAGTACAGTGTCCACTACAGAAGATGTGGAACCTGTTGCGCGACTGGGTGCTTTGCGGCACTTTGAGATACCGTATCGCGTGTCAGGAGGCCTTTGTACGTTTACGACCAAATCATAGCCGCTCTCGACTTGCATCATGTACGCGCTTAGCCGCTTCATTACTTGACTTGCTGGTTTCGCTGCGCTGCCTACCTTTGTAGAACCCGTCCGTTACATGATCGCTTCAGTTGTTTGTATCTTACCCATATCCACATCGGGATTTTCAGCCGAAGGGGATGTTAGATCGTAGTGCCCCGATTCGGTGAGCAGGGCCGGCTCGTGTGATTGTAACATTAGTGTAGCAGCAGAGCCAGGCACCAGGGGGTTCATTGAAGCCCCACTTCCCAGTCCCCTTTTTGCAAGATTTCCTTTTCACTGCGGGAGTGCCCCATTCCTGGATGCAGGATGGACACTGCCCTCCCTCGCCTCCTTTCCTCCTCCTTCTCCTCCTCCTCCTCCTTCTCCTTCCCCTCCCCCCCAGGAAGAGTAGGAGGACGGGCAGGAGACAGAAAAAGAGGAGGACGAGGAGGAGGAGGAACAGAGAGGAAGAGGAGGAGGAGGAGGAGGAGGAGGAGGAGGAGGAGGAGGAGGAGGAGGAGGAGGAGGAGGAGGAGGAGGGGGACGAGAAGGACGAGGGACGAGGACGAGGAACAGGGGAGGAGGAGGAGGAGGAGGAGGAGGAGGAGGAGGAGGAGGAGGAGGAGGAGCAGGAAGAGGAGGGAGAGGAGGAGGAGGAGGAGGAGGAGGAGGAGGGGGAGGAGGAGCAGGAACAGGAGGAGGAGGAGGAGGAGGACGACGATGATGACGACGAGGACGAGGACGAGGAGGACTGAGGAGGACTGAGGAGGCGAAGGAGGATGAGGAGGAGGAGGAAAAGGAGGAGGAGGAGGAGGAAGAGGAACAGGGAGGAGGAAGAGGAACAGGGAGGAGGAGGAGGAGGAGGAGGAGGAGGAGGAGGAGCAGGAGGAGGAGGAGGACGAGGAGGACTGAGGAGGACTGAGGAGGAGGAGGAGGAGGACGACGACGAGGTTGGAGGAAGAGGAGGAGGAGGAGGAGGAGGAGGAGGAGGAGGAGGAGGAGGAGGAGGAGGAGGATGGGCACCAAAGTTAACCCAAGCCACCAAGCTCCTTGTTCACAGGCCCCTGCAAGGGTTCTTTTCCACTGGGGAAGTGCACCAACCGTGTGAAAATCTTGGGAAGAGCCCAAATACCAGTTTCAGGATTTCAACGCCGCGAGTTAACCTGACTGTTGCGTCTTGGCGATCAGAGTCGTGCCATAATACCATTCCTTGGACGACAACGCCGCGAATCCACGTAACTGTCGCACCCTGATAATCATGAGCCGTTCTAAAACACCGTTCCTGGTACGTAAACCATGAAAACAAATGAAGCCGTTGAAAAATGTTTCAAACGAATGTGCGCGGCGCTAAGGCGAGAGCCACATTTTGAAAACGTCCCGCCCTCAATCCGTGAAACTGTTGCAAATGTGTGAACCGAGTATGCGCGGCGGTAAGGGGAGAGGCACATTTTGAAAACGATCCGCCCTCCATCCTCACATTTGTTTAAAACGAATGCGCGCGGCGCTAAGGCGAAAACCACATGTTGAAGACCACCCGCCCTCCATCGGCGAATCTGCTGCCAACTTTTTAAGCTTCAGGGTCATAAGTGGTGAGGGCGTCTCAGGCGAAACGCCCGGCCCGCCCTTTCGACTGGTCTCGGGGTGCGACAGGGAAGAGTTATTTAGGAGGAAAAGGAATGGGGGAGGAGGGCTGCATCGGCACGATCTTTCAGCCAACAGGTAACAGGTAACTCGAGGAGGAGGACGATGAGGAGGAAGAGGAGAAGAAGGAGGAGGAGGTGGAGGAGGAGGAGGAGAAGGAGGGCAGGAGGAGGAGGAGGAGGAGGAGGAGGAGGAGGAGGAGGAGAGACGATGCGCCTCCTCGCCTTCTCCCCTCCCCGCCTGCGATCTCCCCCCCCCCACCAACCGCCACCAGGCGTCCGGAGACCCCGCCTGGCCGGACGCAGGGGCCGCCGCGGGGGGCGCGGGCTGCCCAGGGCAGGGCCAGCGGCGCGCGGATCTGGCGGCTGCGCCGGAGGCCGGGGACGCTCCCGAGGAGGAGGAGGAGGAGGAGGAGGAGGAGGAGGAGGAGGAGGAGGAGGAGGAGGAGGAGGCGAAGGAGGAGGCGCGCAGCTCCCAGGGACCTGGACGATCGAAATGGGCACAGCCAGCACGGAAAGTAAGGATGAGCGATTTTCCAGGGTTAATTTTGCATCCTTCCCTTTCGGCTCATCCTTGTCTATTTTCGCTGGCCGCGCCCCATTCGAAAAGTGTCAACATGGCCTTCCAAGGCCCTGGCATCCTTATCGTGCATCCTTATTATCCGCGTTGACGTGCGGAAAGAAGGGGTACACAGACCGACAGCATGTCTTGTTCATTTTGAGCAGGGCTCGCTGTCGATGTCGCCGCGGACGTCGTCCAGTTGAGGCAGCGGCCGCTGTCGGTTTTGGATAACATTGGTTGTGGGGCGTCGTACCACTTCTTTTCGTACCCGTTTCGGGCGTCCGAAAAATAGGAAGAGTACGCTCGCAGCGCCGATCGCCACGCGCCAGCGCTGGGCCATCCTGCTCACCGCCGCCCGCGGGGGAGCAGCACTCGGCTCACGCGCGGCCGAAAGAGGAGGAGGAGGAGGAGGAGGAGGAGGAGGAGGAGGCAGAGGACGCCAGGAGGAGTCTGGCCGCTGGTCTGCCTGCCCGTGTCGCACCTTAGGGGGCGAAGAATGGTATAACATAACCTGCTCCGGCATCGGGGACGCGTGTCCCAGGGCGGCTGGAAAGTTGACACCCCAACGGCGGCACGTGCGGATATAGACTCTTCCGCCGCCCCAGGGCAGGCGCCCCCGATGGCGGAGCAGTCTATGCTATGCCGCCCTTCGCCCGCTGAGCATCCAGGGCATCGAGGGAGGAGGCAGAGGCCGCCCCCTGCCCGCTGCCCCTGCCGCCTGCCGCCGGCGCGGCTCCGCGCCAGCCGCGCGCGGTGGCCTCGGGGTGGGCGCCCACGCTAAGGCCTTCGCGGGGCCCGCCGGGGGCCGAGCTGGCGCCGCCGTGCAGGGGCCTCTCGGCCTTGGGCTCGGCGGAGGGCCCCGCGGCACTCGGCGCGGCGCCCTCTGCGGCGGCAGCGGCCGCGGCCCCGGAGGCGGCGTGTCGCCGCGCGGCTGCGGGCGGTGCCGCTGTTCAGCCCGAGCGCGGAAGCTGGGGGCACGGGGCAGCAGGACTCCAGGCCTCCCACACAGGGTCCGAGCAGATGGGGTCGGAGGATCGCGCCACATCGCCGATGCGTCGGCGATGCGTCGGCGATGCGGCTCGATGTGGAGCACGATTTTCTCCACGCCGACGGGGCGCGTTCCCCCGATCCTATCTACTCGGACCCAATTTGGGAGGCCTCTAAGGACGCGGGCAGCAGTGCCAAGGACCCGGGGAAAGCGCTGGCCGTCGTGCAGGCGTGGGCGATGCCGAGCACCCAGGACCCAGAGGACATGCAGGTCATCGCGAGCGGCGTGCAGACGATGATTCTAGACAGGGTCTCCACTGCGAGGCCGGCGCTGCAGAGGACAGGGAGGCCGCGGAGGAGGAGGAGGAGCACGAAGTGGACGAGACCCGGGAGGAGGAAGAGGAGGAGGAGAGGGAGGACCCAGAGGGGGACGAGGATCGCTATGGTCAGGTTGCTGCTGCAGAGGAGGTCCGGGAGGCCGCGGAGAACGCAAAGGAGGAGGAGGAGGAGGAGGAGGAGGAGGAGGAGGAGGAGGACGGCGGCCCGGAGGACCACGAGAAGGACCAGGAGGAGGAAAAGGACCACGAAGAGGACCAGGAGAGCAACGAGGAGCAGGCGGAGGACGAGGAGGACCTGGAGGAGAACCCCGAGGGCGCGGCTGCGGCGGCGGCCTGTCACGCGGGGTCCCTAGAGGTGGCGGCAGGAGAGGAGCAGCAGGAGGCGTCGGACGAGGACGCTTACTTCGCCTTCTGTGACCGCTGCGGCGCCGTGCACGTGGTGGACGTGGACGTCATGTCGCTAGGCTTGGGGTGCTCCCTCGTAATTACGGTCAGGAACTTTGTCTTAGCGTGTCGCTCCGCCAGTTCTGGCCAACCACGCTTCGGCGCGACACGCTATCCACTTTCCAATCCCCGAGCTTCAGCGTCCCGAATTTTTCCCAGCTTCCCGGCCCGCGGAGCGGAGCGACACGATACCGCTCACTCCTCCTCCTCCTCCTCCCCCTTCCTCCTTCCTCGTTCCTCCTCCTCCTCCTCCTCCTCCTCCTCCTCTCCCTCTTTTTCCCGCACCTCCCTCGTTCCCAAATGTTTGCGGATGGCCTCCCACAGGCATCGAGTTCTCGTGCGCGGATGTGGGTGCCTCCTGCGACGACGACGCGCCGGGCACGAGCGCCAGCGGCGACATGGCTGCCCTCCTCCCCCTCCTCCCCCTCCCTCCCCCCTCCCCCCCCTCCTCCTTATCCCCCTCCCTCCCTCCCTTCTCCTCCTCCTCCTCCTCCTCCTCCTCCTCCTCCTTCTCATTCCCCCCGCCCTTCTCATCCTTCCCCCCCCCCCGTCCTCCCTCCGTGCGGAGGGGCTGGCGAGCGGCGGCGACCTCCCCGTGGGCCCGAGCCCCCTCGGTCATCTCAGCGCGGAGGAGAAGCGCGCCCTGGTCCAGCGCCACATAGTCCAGCGCCAGGCTCCTTCCCCCCGGCCCCCCTCCTCCTCCTCCTCCTCCACCTCCTCCTCCACCTCCTCCTCCTCCTCCTCCTCCTCCTCCTCATCCTCCTCCTCCTCAAGCACGGGTGGCCCAAGGCATCGTACCCAGTTGGGCTCGAGCTAGCCATGGAACGCCCAGCCCATTGCCTTCTCGTGGCGCTTGGGGGGCTCCCACCACCATAGCGTTTTTAAGATAGTTGTTCCCGGTGTGGGATGGCAAGAATGGGCGATTTCAGGTTATTGCATTTTTGTATTTCGATGTTCGCACTTTCCCGAACACCTTCCTCGGCTTCCCGTCCGCACCGAGGGGCACGGGGGCTTCGAGCCCATCTAAGTCCCACTCGGGCGGCGGAGCGCGGCTGTGTTCGTCACGGTTCTCTCTTCTTCTTCGGCAACCCGTCCGCAACCGAGGGGCACGGGGACCTCGAGCCCATTTAAGACCCACTCGGGCGGCGGCCTTTTCGATGGATCGTGGGTCTGCGAGCTATTTCAATTCAGTAAACTTTAACTTCTAATGTACCATCCGTATGTATTGAAGGGGTGAACACACCGTCGCTCGTTTTCTGTGTTGTGTTCCTTTGGTATTGGCTGTTGGTGAGGCTGTCTGTGGACGAGGCGATCAGCGTGGGTTGCCCGATGACCAGTGGTGTTCTCTCCTTGATAAATGGCCGTACCGAGTCGAACTCATCTCAGCTTAACTTGTGCCATGCTGCTTGGTTTTCTGCATTGTGGGCGCTGTCAGTCTGGAGGGAACCATCCGCCGTATCATCTCGGTGTTGTTCCACGGGCTTCTCTTTGAGCCGGCCGTCTACGGGTTGAAGTGCATTTCTTTCTTGTTCCTCGGCTTCTACGGCAAGCTCAGGTGGAGCGTGTGTTGTCGTAAATTATATCGCTACGCGATGGCGGAATCCCTGGGATCCTCCTCCTCCTCCTCCTCCTCCTCCTCCTCTCCTGCTGCTGCTCCTCCTCCTCCTCCTTCTGATATCTCCCCCCCCTCTTTTCGCCACAGCCCTCCTTCCTCCTCCTCCTCCTCCTCCTCTTCCTCCTCCCCCCTTCCCCTTTTACTCGTCTCCCTCTTCCTCCTCCTTCAGCACGCGCATGCATGGAAACATGCATCTGCCCGTAGCGCGTGGGTCTCGAAGTGACCTCCTGTTATGTGTGGGGAGCGATCGCGGTCGTCTGCTCTGGTACACGCTTCTCGGATACACACTTACTCATATTTCGGCCCCGCTCTATCCTGAGTAGACCTCTGTCTGTCCTTCCATCACTTGCTCGCCATTGACGTGCCAGTGCCCAGCCACTGTTCGGGTCGAGTCCGCCGAGTGCGCAGGGCTCGGACGGCTGCTGGCGCAGCGGCTGACGGAGCCTGGCCAGTCGACGCGTGAGCTCCCGGTGCCAGACCTCGCTGGTGCAGGCGAAGCTCGCGCGAAGCTCGCGCTCGCGCGGGGTCTCCTCATCCCCGCCTCTTTCCTTGGATCTGCGTGAGGTGCTGCAGCAAGAAACGCACAACGAACGATGGCAGCGCCGTCGGCGGTGGGTTCGCCGGCCGCGGCGGGCCCCAGCCTGGTGGCGCATACACCATTGGGCCCTAGTGGGAATGTGATTGCGCGGTGTGCAGGCGATGACCTCTGGCGCAGGGATCCTACGCTGCCGACGGATTGTGGATCACCAGTATCCTCGATGGGGACGCGCACGCAAACGATTACGGCCCCGACTACGATGACATCGACGATGTGAGAGCTTGCCGTCCAGACATGCCCTTCGCGTTAGCTTCCCCAGTGCTCGACTGTTTTGGTTCCGCGCTGGAGTGAAGCTCGTAGGGGCGGGCTTCGCGGCGTTCGTGGACGAGGGCCGCGACTTGGCAGCCCGTGGTGGAAGTGGAGCTCCTGCCGAGCCCACAGCAGCCCCAGCGGCTCCCATCGTCTGGATGTTTGACCACGCGATGTGCGACGTCTGCCTGCAGGAGGCGCCAGGTGCGATTGTGGATGCAAGGACGCAGCGCGGATTGGCGGCAAGATCTGGGAGCTTCGCAAGGTTCGGCGTGCCGACCTATCACTGTGCAGGCGTGACATCGCCGACCTTGGTGGGTATGCCCGGGCACTGCCGGCCAAGCACTCAGCCTCAGAACCACGACGCCGGCCGCGGCAGAACGCGGCCGAGTCCTCCCAGGAGACCGCGATCGACCACTGGCCTGACCGAGGACCCCGCACGACTTCATGGTTCGCGAAGCTCTTGTTGCAGCGCAGCACGGGGTTCGAGGACCGCCAGCGGCGCAGTGCGCGCCGCGTCGCGCCGAGCGACCGGGGGGTCGACCGAGCTCGTGCAGTTGTCCGAGCACCTGCAGGCGGCCAGCCCGGTGGACCAGCTCGACCTCCTCCTTTTCCTCCTCCTCCTCCTCCTCCTCCTCCTGTTCCTCCTCCCTCCCTCCCTCCCTCTTTCCCTCCCTCCCTCCCTCCCCTCCCTCTCTCCCACTCTCCCCCCGGCGATGAAGACCACGGCGAATCCCGCCCGCGCAAGCAGATGCTCCTTCTCATCACCGTCATCACACTGCCGTAGCCGCGGTCACTCGAAGGGGTAACTCGCGCACCCACGCACGCGGCAGCGCACCGGGAGAATTTTTTCCGACCCCGCATGGCTTCACCAACCCATTTGCCTTGGGATTCTCCGCCCTCCTCCCGCCGCGCCCTCCGCCCTGGCGACGACACTTAGAAACCTTTCGTGGCGCTCGCCACCTCCGCTGGCCCTTTCCCTGGCTGATGTTGGTTGTTTCTCTTTGTTTTCGCTTGTCCGTCGGCCGCCCAGCGGTCGCTCGGTTGTTCGGCTGGCCCCTTCCCTGGTTTGTCTTTGTTGCTTCTGTTCGTTTTCGCTTTGCCGTCGTTTGCACTGGTCGCTCCAGGCTCGTCGGCCGCCCATCGGTCGCTTGGTCCCTCGGCCAGTTTCCCGGCTGGCGTGGGTTGCGTGGATTGGTTTTTCGCTTGTCCTTCGGTTGTGCTGATCGCCCTGGGCTCGTCGGCCGCCCCGCGGCCGTTCGGCCCCTCGGCCCGCCCGTTCCCTGGCTGGCGTGTGTTGTTTTGCTTGTTGTTGTTCCGCTTGTCCGTCGGTGGCAGTGCTCGCCCCAGGTTCGTCGGCCGCCCCCTCGGCCGCTCGGCCCCAGCGGCCAGCACCCTCATCGGTTGGCTTTGGTTGTTTTGGTTTGTGTTCTCGTGTCCGTCGGTTGCGCTGGTCGCCCCAGGCTCGTCGGCCGCCCCTCGGTCGCTCGGCCCCTCGGCTGGCACCTCCCTTGATCGGTTTCGGTTGTTTTGGCTTGTTTTCGCTTGTCCGTCGATTTGCAGCGATCGCCTGGGCTTGTCGCCCGCCACTCGCTCGCTCGGCCCCATCGACTGGCCCCTTCTCCTGGCCAGCGTTGGCTGTTTTGGTTTGTTTTCGCTTGTCCGTCGGTTGCATTGGTCGCCCCAGGCTCGTCTGCCGCGCTTCGGTCGCTCGGCCCCTCGGCTGGCTCCATTCCCTGGCTGGTTTCGGTTGTTTCGGTTTCGCTTGTCTGTCGGTTGCATTGGTCGCCCCAGGCTCCTCGACCGCCCCTGGGTCGCCCGGCCCCTCGGCTTGCCCCCCTCCCTTGGTTTTTCGTCAAAAATCACATGTCTGCTTGTTTTTGGGTCGCTCGGCCTTTCGGCAGGCCCCTTCCCTGGCTGGTTATGGTTGTTTGGGTTTGTTTTCGTTTGTCCGTCGTTTGCATTGGTCGCCCCAGGCTTGTCGGCCGCCCCTCGGTCGCTGTGTCCCATCGGCTGGCACCTTCCTTGCCTGGTTGTGGTTGTTTTGGTTTGTTTTCGCTTGCCTGTCGATTTGCAGTGATCGCCCCTGCTCGTCGGCCGCCCCTCGCTGTTTGGGGTGGTTTCGCTTGCCCGTCGGTTGCACTGGTCGCCCGAGGCTCGTCGCCCGCCCCTGGGTTTTTCGGCCCATCGGCTGGCCCTTTCCCTTGCTGGTTTGTTTGTTGTCCTACATAGTTTGTTTTTTCTTTTTTGCTTGTCCCTCGATGGCACTGGTCGCCCCGGGCTCGTGCACCGCCCTTCGGCCGCTCGGCCCCTCGGCTGGCCCATTCCCTGGCTGGTTTCGGTTGCTTTGTTTCGTTTTCGTGGCGCCCGAACATGGTGGATTTCGTGAGCGCCAACTGCTACGCCCCGAAGAACCATTGAGAGGCTTCCCGCGAGCTTGTCCGTTTGGGCGTCTTCTGCCGCGCAGTTCCAGGCGCGGCCAGCGCAACCGACGGACAAGCGAAAACAGACAAAGACGACCAAAACCAGCCAGGTAAGGGGCCAGCCGAGGGGCCGAGAGACCCAGGGCCAGCCGAGGGGCCAGGCGCGGACATTGCGACCGACGGATAAACGAAAACAAGCCAGAACAACCCCAAACCAGCGGGGAAAGGGGACATCCGAGGGGCCGCGCGACCCAGGGATGCTTCGCGCCGCTAAGATAGGGCTCGGAAAATTGTAATATATATATATATATATATATATATATATAGATGTGTGTTGAAGTGTTCGCTGTTGATTTTTGTGGCGGCCCCGAACTTCATCTAATTGATGAGCCTTCCGATGTCATATTTTACATACTTCTTCCGGCCGGTGTGCAGCGCCATCATCATCGTTAGCATCATCGTCACCAGCAACATCGTCATCATCATCGTCGTCGTCATCATCACCATCATTATGATCAGCGCCGTCACCACCATCATCGTCATCGTCATCACCACCGTCATCATTATCAGTATGATCAGTATCGTCATCGCCGTCATCCACATCATTGGAATCAGCAGAATCGTCACTATCGCCATCATGCCTGATCATCAACATGACTATCATCATCATTTGCAGAATAATCATCCGCCTCGTCGTCCGCATCATCAACATCATCGTCAACATCAGTCGCATCATCATCACCGTCGTCATCACCAACGTCATCATCAACAACATCATCATCACCATCATCGCCATTATCGGCATCGCCATAACCGTGGTGCGTATCATCATCATCGTCATCATCATCATCGCCGTCATCATCATCATCAGCATCATCATCATCATCATTTGTTTCGTCGTCGTCGTCAACATCATCATCGTCATCACCATCGTCACCATCGTTGTAATCATCTTCGTCATCATCGTCATCATCATCGTCATCATCATCGTCGTCCTCTTCCCTTTCCTCCTCCTCACACTATGGAGCAATAGTGAAAGGAACCGGGAACCAGGAATTGGGAACCGGGAGCGGGAACCGGGATCCGGGAACTGGGAACCGGGAACCGGGAACCGGGAACCGGGAACTGGGAACCGGGAACCAGGAATTGGGAACCGGGAGCCTGGAGCCAGAGCCAGGACCCCAGAGCCTGGAATTGGGAACCGGGAGTTGGGAACTGGGAGCCGGGAATGGGGAACCGGGAACCTGGAATTGTGAACCGGGGGTTGGGCACGCAGGACTTAGGACACATGTTCGGGAATTTGGGAATCTGGGACAGGGAGAACGAAGGAGAGTGACACGTACACACACATATACTTATACACAAGTTGCATCCATGTATACATGTATGTCTGCATATAAATGTATGGGGAAAGAGAGAGAGAGAGAGAGAAAGAAAAAAAAAATCCCAGTGTGACCCTACCTAGGAGTTGGAGCCTCTAGGAAAGCAACATTAGTAGGAGCGGTAAACGCCGTCCTCCTCCTCATCGTCGTAGTTGTAGCAGTAGCGTAGTAGTAGTAGTAGTAGTAGTAGTAGTAGTAGTAGTAGTAGTAGTAGTAGTAGTAGTAGTAGTAGTAGTAGTAGTAGTAGTTAGTAGGAGTAGTAGTAGTAGTAGTAGTAGTAGTAGTAGTAGTAGTAGTAGTAGTAGTAGTAGTAGTAGTAGTAGTAGTAGTAGTAGTAGTAGTAGTAGTAGTAGTAGTAGTAGTAGTAGTAGTAGTAGTAGTAGTAGTAGTAGTAGTAGTAGTAGTAGTAGTAGTAGTAGTAGTAGTCGTAGTCGTAGTAGTAGTAGTAGTAGTAGTAGTAGTAGCAGTAGTACTCGTAGTAGTAGTAGTAGTAGTAGTAGTAGTAGTAGTAGTAGTAGCTGTAGTAGTTGTAGTCGTAGTAGTAGTAGTAGTAGTAGTAGTAGTAGTAGTAGTAGTAGTAGTAGTAGTAGTAGTAGTCGCAGTAGTAGTAGTAGTAGTAGTAGTAGTAGTAGCAGCGCCAGAACCGCCGACGCCACGCCGTAAGTGAAACAGCAGCAGAAGCAGGCAGCCATAGTGGATGCTGTGCTGCGCTATGCTATGCTCTGCTCTGCTATGCTATGCCATGCTGTGCTGTGCTGTGCTGCGCGATGCTATGCCGGGGTAGGCTAGGCTATGCTACGGTATGCTATGCTGCGCTATGCTATGCTGCGCTATGCTATGCTATGCTCTACTATGCTATGCTATGCTTTTGCTTTGCCTTCGCTTTTGCCTTCACTTTTGCTTTTGCCTTTGCTTTTGCTTGTGCTTGGCACCCAGGGAGCGCAACTGGGGGAACCGCGCGTTTGCTGTTACCTTTGCTGTTGCTTTTGCTTGGCTCCCAGGGGACTGGGGGAACCGCCTGGGGCGGTTGCCACTGCCTGGCCCCTTTAAGCCAACAGAGTAAGAACCCTTCTAGGCAGAGCCTAGGTAGGGCAATAGTAACGACAAACATACACTCATACATATATGTGTACAGAGAGAGAGGCGAGAGAGAGTGCTATCTGAGCCTGTCCTCAGTAATATCAGTACGTACTTACTACATATATGTATGCATGTTTGTATGTATGTACGTATGTATGTAGGTACATACGTATGCATGTCGTTGTAAAGGGGGAGGGAAGTACAGATGAAGAGTGGAGAGTTCGAGAGAAAAAAGAGCTACACAAGTACAGTTTGATGTGTACCGTGTCAGGTTCCCCTCTGTATTTGTATTCGCAGCCAGTCATCTAATATTATAGGTACCCTGATAACTTTGTACGCAGTGTTGCCATGTATACATAAGCACTTGTGTATATACAAATGATTACACGAAAACGTACATGTATGTCATCCTGTAGATAGATACACAGAGAGAGAGAGAGGGCGGCACCAATCAAGCGTAAGTGCTGATATTACAGAGAACCGAAAGAGACCGATACACATAGATTTTTCGGTGTACAAAGACCAGATGCGAGTATGTCCATATATATATATACACATTACACACATATGTGTTTACGTAACTGTACCCATGTACGTCTTCTCACAGAAAGGCACACACATAGGGTTAACTCGAAATGCACAGGTAAGACTGTATAGAAAAAGAGAGGGGAGGGAGTGAAAGAGAGCAAGAGAGAGAGAGAGAGAGAGACATAGAGAGCGAGGGTAAGAGAGGGGGTGCGGCCCGTATATGCACAGGTATATTAGATAGGTGTGTCATATTCGCGCGTAAGTGGATAGTTCATTTATACACGTATGATGTACACACATATATATAGAGAGAGAGATAGAAAGAGAAAGACAGAGAGATAAGTAAGGAACAACAGCAACACAAAATGATTGAGAGAGGGAGAGATGAGAGAGACATATAGAGAGAGGAAAGAGAAAGAGAGAGAGAGAGAGACCAGGAACCTCGAGAACTCGGAACCAGGAACCGCGGGAACGCCGGAACAAGGAACTGGGAACTGGCCGGTCCGCAGTTTCCGGTTCTTGGGCTCCCGGGAGCCCGGAACATGGAACCGGGAACCGGGAAGCCGGAGCTGGGAATACGGGGAGCCGGGAACCAAGAACGGGGAATCAAGAACGTGGAATCGGAAACCGGGAGCCAAGAACCGGCGGGAACCCGGGAGCCGGGACCCAAGAATTGGGAACCGGGAGCAGGGACTTGCGACCCGGGTCCCAGGAAACAGGACCCGGGAACCGAGACCCGGGAACCGGGAATTGGGAACTTGGAGCCGAGAGCCGGGACCCCGGAGCCGGGAACTGGGACCCCAGAGCCGGGACCGGGAACCGGGAACCGGGAATTCGTTGACCAACATACTTCACCTCCTCATTATTATTTTCAATAATAGTAATAATGCTAATAATAAAAATAATCATCATTTTATTATTATTTTTACTATTATTATTATGATTGGTATTATTATTATTATTATTGTTATTATTAATATTATTATCATTATGAGATTTATTATTATTATTATTATTATCATTATCATCAGTATCACAATTATGATTATTATAATTGTTCTCATTATTATTTTAAGTATTGTTATTATTATTATTACTATTAGTATCATCCCCTCTTTCTCTCTCTCTCTCTCTCTCTCCTTCTCTCCCCATCAGTCCCCCTCCCTCCTGTCCTCCGTCCCCTTGCCGCTCCCCGTCTTCTTCCACGCTCCCTTCTCCCGCCTTCTCCCTCCGGCGGCAGGCGGAGCGCCTGCGCCCCCAGGACGTGCAGCACGGGCTGGCGCAGCTCTTCCGGGCCCAGATGCCCAAGGATCCGAGGGAGGGGGAGCCAGACCCCCTCGAGTCATGAAAAAATCACGACGGGAGGTTTTTCCATATTTGTGGCTTCTGGGAGGCCCCTACCGGGCCTCGGGACCGTCAAAAAACGATTCAGGGTGAAAAACCGGTCCTGGGGAATGGGTCCAAACCTCTGGGGGTCGACGTCATGAAAAAATCACGGCGTCGGGGGTCTGGGGAGGGCGCGCGGCGTGGCAACGAGGGGAGGGGAAAAGGGGGAGGGCAGGACAGGAGAGGAGGGAAGGAGGGCGAAGGGGAGGGGGAGCGAGGAGCGAGGAGGGGGAGGAGAGGAGAGGAGGGGAGGGAGGGGAGGAGGGGGAGGAGAGGAGAGGAGGGGAGGGAGGGGAGGAAGGGGGGGGGGGGGGCCACTCCTGCTCCCTCTGCAGGCCGCCTCTCCGGCCATCTGCCCAGGGGGTGGTCGAGGCGCGGGGGGGCGGTCGTGGAAGTGGGCGTGCTGTCCGCAGCCGAGGGGGGAGGCCTTCTCTCAGGCCTTCTCAGAGAGAGAGAGAGAGAGAGAACAAAAAAAAAGGGAGAAGGCCTTCTCAGAAGGAGAAGTGAGAAAAGGAGAAGGAGAAGGCCTTCTCAGAAGGAGAAGTGAAGTGAGAAGAAGGAGAAGGCATTCTCTCAGGCGATGGCAAGCATGGATCAAGGGGGCGCGGATTAGCGACGGGTCCCGCTTCCATGGGGAATCGCAAATTTCCGCCCCGCCGGACGAGGCGGCCCTGGCCGCATTCTGGGGAGGGCACCTCCCCCGATGCATGGATTGGACGACCGCGCGCCAAATCCGTGGATCGCTAATCCATGTTTGCGCGCCCCCGAGAAAGGGTGCTTTATTGACAGGGATTATGTCCACCTCCGAGGAGAGGTACCGCGACAACCAGGTCGTGACTCACAAGGGCGAGCGCTTCATCAAGATAAATCGATCTCTCGATCCAGGACCTGGCTGCGAGCTCGGCGGCATCCTTGGTTGCGGGGACGCAGCAATAATTTAGCTTCTTAGCCGGACAGGCTTGGCGTGTAGGATGTTGGCCGTGGCAGGTACCCAAACAGAAAGTCCTGTACAACAGCCTTGTACACTTGTACGCGCAGCGAATATTGTGCCAGACCCCACCCCAGACCCCCGACGCCGTGATTTTTTCATGACGTCGACCCCCAGAGGTTTGGACCCATTCCCCAGGACCGGTGTTTCATCCTGAATCGTTTTCTGACGGTCCCGAGGCCCAGTAGGGGCCCCCCAAAGCCACAAATATGGAAACACCTCCCGTCGTGATTTTTTCATGACTCGAGGGGGTCTGGGACAGTGATTCCCACCCTTTCTGTCCCGAGCGTACATCACTGCACCAGGCCCGCGTCCCGAGGCTGGCGCCGCCGAGGAAGATGAGGGGGGAGCAGCAGCAGCAGCAGCAACTGCAGGAGCAGGAGGCGAGGGGGCAGGGGAAGCAGGGGGGCAGGGCACAGGAGCAGGACGATGAGGAGAAGGACAGGCTGGAGCAGGAGGAGGGTGCAGTGGGGGGAGGGGCATGAGGAGAACGAGGGGAGAAGGAGGGTCCAGGGCGATACCCCCCCAGGCTGGCGGTCGAAAGCTGGTCGTCGAGGGCTCGGCATCAGGAAGATGACGAAGGAGGAGGCGGACCGAGTCTGCCTCAGCAACAAGAATCGCACCCACGTCCGCAAGGCCCCAGGGAATCAGGGGAGGGAGGGGACCAAGGGAAGGGATGGGCCCAGTGGAGGGGAGGGAAACAGAGGCTACTGCCCTTGGAAGTTAGGATACATCGTATGACCAGGAGCTCGAAGCCACTGCCGCATCATGGCCACAGTACGGTGCGGTACTGTACGGCAGCAGGTGCACGCGGTACTGGTACCTGTGCTGGATACTCCCGCCAGTACCGGTAGCGCTGGTGCGGCAGCAGGACAACGCAGTGCCAGCTTCGTTGCGGCAGCATGGCCACGCGGTATTTGTACGGCTGCAGGACTTATATGCACCGGCAGCGGCACGGGTACGGTTGCACGACCATCTCTCCTCCCAGCCTCCCAGACCCCCCTTAACCCCACTCGACCTGCCCATACCCTCCCCAACCCCTGCGACCCCCTCGACTCCTCCCCGAACCCTCCCGATCCCCCCGACTCCCCCAGGTGAGGTGGTCGCCGGCGGTGCGGTCTTGTCCGCGCGAAATCTGCAATGGACCGGGTGAGCAGCAAACAAGTAGCTCGGATGTTCCACGAATGCGAATCAGCAGCGGCCGTTCCCACTGTGCCCGACATGAGTATGACGAGTGATTGTGCCCTGGGACCGCAGATATTTTTTTCCCCAGAAGGTTTTCGCGCTGCACTCTGTGGTAAATCGACGATTCGGCACAATTCTCCGACCCCGTAGACTCGGACCCAATCTAGGATCAGAGGCACGCCCAGGAGAGGAAGTGAGAAGGAGCAGGCCTTCTCAGAATGCGGCGGGACTTCTCAGAAGCCCTCCGGCCTGTGAGAAGTTTTCTGCGTCTTCGGGAAAGGCTTAGAAAACCTTTCAGAAGGCCCGAGACCTTCCGAGCCTTCTGAGAATGCCGGCGCCCTCTCACTTCCCCTCCGGGCTGGCCGCCGATATTTGGACGCCATCTAGGAGACCTCTACTCTCGCCAGCGAGATCCCCGAGTGTCCTCGGCTAGACCTGGCAGTGGCGCCACCCTCCCTTGCCGCGCCCGTTTCCTTCGCGAGCCCTGCCCCCGGGCTGTCACCGTAATGCTTCTGGCCCTGGCGCTGCCCTGCGTTGCCGCCAGTCTCTCTTTCTCCAGCCGCGAACCCTCGACTTTCTCTCGTACTCTATGGGGGGGCGTGTTCCTGGGAGTGCGGATGAAGGGCACAGGCTACATCGAAGAGCAACCAATGCGGCATGGCTATAAGCTTTCGTAGCTCCGCGCGGATTCTCAGATCGGCGCTGGCCCCCCTCCCTGAGGGCGCCTTTTGCGCCTTTTGCAAGAGGGGGGGGTCCAGCGCGGATCCAAGAAATCCGCGCGGAATTCCAGAAGTTTCTGTGTTCATGCCGTTTTGGGTTCCTCGCGCTTTCGCAGTTTACGGGGAATCGTGGTCTTGGGAGTGCGGATGCAGGGCGCAGTCTATGGTGCACATAATGTCTTTCGGCTCTTCCCGCCACCGTGCCAAGATAGTGGATCAGGTACCTCCTGGAACCAATTCGCGGTATCCCGGGGATCCATTTGGGTATCTCTTGGGGGCCGATTGAGATTGGGTTCGCTTGATCCGTATCGGAACGTATTGGGGCCATGTGCGGGCTCTCGTGGGCTGTCTCGTCGCAGGGGTGTGTGTTGTCATGGGGCCCGTGGTGCCCTAAGTGACGTTGAGATGGACAGGAGAGATGCTGTCGTGGGACTAGTGTGGGCCCCAAGTCAAGTCTGGGCGCCTCCTGGGAGCGCCCGATCCGAGGTAGCTTGGAGGTGTGAGCGCGCGGGCACACGAGCGGGAGCGGGAGCGGGACTGGCAGCAGGAGCAGGAGCCAGGGCTGGCCAGGTCGAGCGAGTCGGCGGGCCCCGCCTCTCCCAGCCCTCCCCTCCCTTTCTCCCTCCTCCTCCCATTTTGGGTGCGTATTTGGATCCGAGGGGGACAGACCTCCTACCCTGACACGTCGATGAAGGAATTGGCCGTTTTCGGTTCGCGAGAGGGCGTCGCGGCAGTCATTCTCGCGGGTCCAGGTCCGTCAGGTTCGGTCCTAGGCCGTTCTCACTGAAGGGAGGTTTACTAAAGGGAAGTCTGTCCATCCCCGAATGGATGCACCCGGCTGGGCGGCACGAGGCGATTATTGTGCGATGTTGCCCGGAAATGTTTGGGGCGGGGAGGGGGAAAAAACCTGGCATTGGGATCGGAACGTGTTCCCGCCCAGCGAACGGAAGGCGGTCGCGCGCGGCTCCGCTTCCGACGACTTGGCGAAGGGAAAACATATGATGGGCCTGTTTTCCACCACCACCACCACTATGAGTTGGAGGGGGAGGGGGTCCTCCTCCTCGTCGTCCTCCTCCTCCTCCTCCACCTCCTTCTCGTCCTCCTCCCCCTCCTCCTCCTCCTCCTCCTCCTCCTCCTCCTCCTCCTCCTCCTCCCCCTCCCCTCCAGCTTATGGTGGTGGTGGTGGTGGTGGAAAGCAGACCCCTCAAACGTGCGCGGGCCGCGCACCGGCGGGAGTGGCAAAACTCCGGCCTGTGCGCGGCGAAGACGACCCGCGCCGAGACAGCACTGCCACTTTTGGGAGTCCCGAAGCGGTGCGGTGACAGTCGTCCGCACGGTCACCACACTCAGCCACGCGCAGAGGGGGGTGGGTGGAGGGGGGAGGGCTTCTTAGAAGCACCCCTGCTTCTTAGAAGGCGCGGGGGCCAAGGCCGGCGCCTTCTAAGAAGCAGCCCTGCTTCTAAGAAGCCCTCCCCCTCCCCCCACCCCCTTGTGCGCGCCGCCAACACACGGTCTGTCGACAGACTGCGCGGTGACCGCGAACCCCCCCAGGACCTCACCGCACTGCCCGCCAACGCACGGTTTTGGGGCCTCAGAGGCCCCCGTCGCCCGAGACGTCCTGGGAGAGGGACTCGAGTCCCGAAACCGTGCGGTGACCCCGCATCCCCAGCGACTCGCCACCCGGTGTGGTCACCACCCCGCCTGGGGGCCCTCGACGTTGCCGCTCGCAGGCTGCACGGCGCCTGTGCGGGGGCAGCATGGCGCCCGCTCTCGGCCGCGCCGCCGCTGCCGCCGGCGTGCGACGCGGCGAGCGAGGCGCGCGCCGCGCCCGCGCGGGAAGCGCCACGGCCAGGCGAAGAGGAGGCGCACGGGGCTCGGTCGCGGGCGACACGTCGCCCGCTCCCGCGGGGGCCCAAAGCTCGGCGAGCGGACAAGATGGTGATGGGCCTGTTGTCCACCACCACCACCACCATAAGTTGGAGGGGGAGGGCGTCCTCCTCATGCTCCTCCTCCTCCTCCACCTCTTCCTCCTCCTCCACCTCCTCCACCTCCTCCTCCTCCTCCTCCCTCCTCTCCCTCCTCCTCCTTCCCCCCTCCAACTTATGGTGGTGGTGGTGGAAAACAGGCCCACCAAGACACGCCGCGCTGAGGCGCGAACGTCGCTTTCGAGCGGAATCTGCGCGGCGCCTAGGCGAGAGCGACATTTTCGTCCGTTCGCGCGTCGGCGAACTGGCGTGCGAATGATGCGCGCCGCGTCCAATCGGGAGCTCAATTCTCAAGAAAAAGGGCGCAGCGCCGATGCGAGAGAAAGAAGAAACGTCCCAATCCTGCCACGTCCTTTGGGACGTGGGCGACAGAACGTCCATGCTGAGAGCAATCACGTAGACTTTGTATTGTTTTCTACGAGTAGGATGTGTGGTCCCTGATCTGGTCGCCATCGGCCCGCTAGGTGGTAGGATCAGGGTCAGGATCAGGCACAGAAGCAAGCCTAGGAGGAGGCAGGGGAAGAGGCGGAGGAGGACGAGCGTGTACAGCAGGAAAGGGTCTTGACAGAGCCGGGGGAGAACGCGGCTGGGCAGGCGACTGGGTCTGGCGGGTACAAGTCGGGCTACACGTTCGAAAACAAGTGGTCGCAGCACACTGCCGAGACCTCGCAGAGGGCCGCGCCGAGGAAACTTGGGCAATCCAATATCATGATACACCCGAGCGACATCCAGGTGTAAACGGATGCAGAGGATGAGATGATCACGGTGTAGTGGTGATGACAATGATGATAGTGGAACGAAGAGAAGGACATAGAGGGGGAGGATGAGGAGGAGGACGAGAAGGAGGGTGAGAAGGAAAATCCGAGGTTCAGCCGCCCTGGGTGTCAGGAGCACCCAAGCTGGCGGTCAAGCCCGGCAGGTAGGAGGGCGGCGTGATAAGGGAGCAGGAAGGCGGGAGGCACGATATGGGAGACATTTGGAGAGAGGAGGGAGGAGGTGAGGTGCGAGGGGGGGGGAAGGGAGGATGAGGGAGACGGGATGAGGGAGGAGATGGCAGGAATGGCCTGCCTGGTGAGAGGCCCAACTGCTTTTGCAATTCGCATCGCCGACCGGACTGAGTCTCGCTCGCGGAAGGCTACAACGCGCCATGAGCTTGACAACGGAATTGCGCTCCAGGCAATGGAGAGTACGCAAGTCCCGGGCGAGAGCACGATTCTGAAAACGCACCGCCCTTCTTATCCGTGCAAGAGCTGTAAGCCATCTCTCTCCATCCGTGGAGTTGCTGGGAATTCCAAGCTTTCGGATGCCACGATGTGAGGGGATCTCCCAACACATCAAGCGAATCGGAATACGTCCACGCCGTTGTCGGAAATATCAAGCCTTCCCCTCGAATTGTAGAATGCGAGGAGTTCCCAGACGAGAGACATAGTGTTCAAAGGAACCACATTTCATCCGTGTAAACATCGGAATGTTCAAGCTTGAGGGTTGTAATCTGCGCAGAAGTCATACACGCCAGGCCCGGACCGCCCCACCGACACGTCTATCGCGAGACGGTATGCCGCTCGTTGCCGGGAAAAGGGATGGAGGAGGAAGGAAATGAGAGGGAGGATGCGGAGGTTGAGGGGATGGATGAGAAGGGAGGGAGGGGGGGAGAAGACGAGGTGTTGGGTGGTGAGCTGGAGTAACAACAGCCGAACCCACCACCGCCACCATTACCATTGCCACGACCATCACTAACGTACAAACGCCAGCGCCAGCACCTTCACCAGCACCATCAGCAGCACGACCATCATCAGCGTCCAGACCAGCAGCCCCAGCAGCCCCAGCAAACAGTGGGAGAAGCCGGGAGACGTTAGGGGGGAGGGGCCGGGGGAAGTGGACCAGCGGATCAGGTCGGGGGGGGCCAAAGAGGAAGGAAGGAGGAAGGGAGGAGGCAGGAGGAAGGCGTGAAGGATGGAGGGAGGTGGGAAGGAGGCAGGAGGGAAGGAGAGGGGGATGGACCAGGGAGGGATGGCCCCGACAGCAGGAGCCTCGGGTGAGCGCGCGGTGCGCGAAGCGGGGCGCCGCGCGCGCCTGTCGGAGAGGCGCCCTCCCCATCCTCCTCTTCCTCCTCTCCCTCCTCCTCCTCCACCTCCACCTCCTCCTCCTCCTCCTCCTCCTCCTCATCCTCCTCCTCCTCCTCCCCCTCCTCCTACTTCTCCTCCTCTCCCTCCTCCTCCTCCTCCTCCTCCTCCTCCTCCTCCTCCTCCTCCTCCTCCACTCCAGCTTTTTGTCCTTATCAATAATTCTTTACGCTTCGCGTATCCCCACCAGCCCATCTCACAGCAGCAACTCTTGCGAAGCATGCCGACAGTCGTGTTTTTCAGGCGTGCGTCCGCTTGGCCCCGCATATCTCCCCTGTTCCTCCTTCCTCCCGCCTCCTTGTACATCCTCCTTGTGGGGGGAGCGGGAGAAGGACGAGGCGGAGGAGGAGGGAGAGAAAGCGCTCCTCGTGATTTGAGTCGTTTGGGTGTTCTCGTCCTGGTGTGAGTCGTTCGGGCCCTTCTTCCTGGTGTGAGTCGTTCGGGCTCTTCGTATAATCAATACTTTTGAGACTGTGGGCCATCTGGGGACCTCCTGGGGCCACCTGGTGGACCTCTGGGGGCCCTCTTGGGGGGCTTGTACGAGCGCTGCCCCTCCTCCTGGTGTGACTCGATCGGGCTCCACGTGGTGTGAGTCGTTCGAGGCCCGCGTCGTGGTGTGAGTCGTTCGGGGTCCTCGTGGTGTGAGTCGGTCGGGCGCCTCGTCCTGGTATGAGTCGTTCGGGCCCCTCGTTGTGGTGTGAGTCGTTCGGGCTCTTCGTGGTGTGAGTCGTTCGGGCCCCTCGTCCTGGTGTGAGTCGGTCGGGCTCCTGGTGTGGCCTCTTGGGAGCCTCTTGGGGGCCTCTTGGGGCCTCTTGGGGGCCTCTTGGGGGACTCTTGGGGGCCTCTTGGGAGCCTCTTGGGGGCTCTGGGTGCCTCCTGGACGCCTCTGGGGTGCCTCTTGGGAGCCTCTGGAGGCCTCTTGGGGGCGGCTGGGGAGCCTCTTGGAGGCCTCTTGGAAGCCTCCTGGGGGCATCTCGGGGCCTCGTGGGGGCTCTGGGGGCCTCGTGGACGCCTCTGTGGTGCCTCTTGGAAGCCTCTGGAGGCCTCTTGGGGGCGGCTGGGGAGCCTCTTGGAGGCCTCTTGGGAGCCTCCTGGGGGCATCTTGGGGCCTCTGGGGGGCTTCTTGCGACCTCCTGAGAAGCGCAAATGAGCGCTACCCCCTCAGAAGGACAAAATGAGCCCAAAACCTTCGTACAATAAAACATTTTGAGAACACGGAGCAGCAGCGCTGGCCCCTCAGACGGCCAAAATGGGGCCAAAACCGTAGTAAAATCAATGATTTTGGCTTCAGAGAAGAGGAGAGCATTTTTACCTAACATCGAAGACTGATTACCTAACATCGAAGACTGATAGGTTTCTAATGGTGTAAAAAGAGAGCAGCACATTACTCCACAGGGGGGTCTGGGCAGCCGTTGGGGGGCCGTTGGGGTTCCGTTGGGGGGCCGTTGGGGTTTGCCGGGGGGGATCGTTTTTCGCATGCAGTCACACACTTCGTGCTCTTTGACCTCCCAGAACTCCATTCCCGGGCCACATTCTGAATGCCCGGAGCCAACTGTACGCCACTTCGTGCTCTTCGACTTCCCAGAATTCCATTCCCGGGCCACATTTTGGATGCCCGGAGCCAACTGTAGGCCACTTCGTGCTCTTCGACTTCCCAGAATTCCATTCCCGGGCCACATTCTGAATGCCCGGAGCCACAGTAGGCCACTTCGTGCTCTTCGACTTTCCCAGAACTCCATCCGCCGGGCCACATTTGATGCCCGGAGCCAGTTGTAGCCCACTTCGTGGTCTTCGAGTTCCCAGAACTCCATTCCTGGGCATGATTTTGAATGCCCGAAGCCAACTGTAGGCCACTTCGTGGTCTTCGAGTTCCCCAAACTCCATTCTTGGGCATGATTTTGAATGCCCGAAGCCAACTGTAGGCCAATTCGTGTTCTTCGAGTTCCCAGAACTCCATTCCCGTGCCACATTTTGAATGCTGAGGCAGGCTGAGGCTGAGGCTGAGGCAGGCTGAGGCTGAGGCAGGCTGAGGCTGAGGCCGAGGCTGAAGGCAGACTGAGGCTGAGGCTGAAGCAGGCTGAGGCTGAGGCTGAGGCAGGCTGAGGCTGAGGCTGAGGCAGGCTGATGCTGAGGCAGGCTGAGGCTGAGGCTGAGGCTGATGCAGGCTGAGGATGAGGCAGCCTGAGGCTGACGCCGAGGTGCCAGGCTCATAAAGTGCAGACTGATGCCTTGCTTGAGCAGGCTGAGGCTGGGCTGAGGCTGAGGCTGAGGCAGGCTAGGCTGAGGCAGGCTAAGGCTGAGGCTGAGGCAGGCTGAGGTGAGGCAGGCTGAGGCTGAGGCTGAGGCTGATGCAGGCTGAGGCTGAGGCAGGCTGAGGCTGAGGCCGAGGCTGAAGGCAGACTGAGGCTGAGGCTGAAGCAGGCTGAGGCTGAGGCGGAGGCAGGCTGAGGCTGAGGCTGAGGCAGGCTGAGGCTGAGGCAGGCTGAGGCTGAGGCTGAGGCTGATGCAGGCTGAGGCTGAGGCAGGCTGAGGCTGAGGCCGAGGCAGAAGGCAGACTGAGGCTGAGGCTGAAGCAGGCTGAGGCTGAGGCTGAGGCAGGCTGAGGCTGAGGCAGGCTGAGGCTGAGGCTGAGGCAGGCTGATGCTGAGGCAGGCTGAGGCTGAGGCTGAGGCTGATGCAGGCTGAGGCTGAGGCAGGCTGAGGCTGAGGCCGAGGCTGAGGCAGACTGAGGCTGAGGCTGAAGCAGGCTGAGGCTGAGGCTGAGGCAGGCTGAGGCTGAGGCTGAGTCAGGCTGAGGCTGAGGCTGAGGCTGAGACTGAGGCTGAGGCAGGCTGAGGCTGAGGCAGACTGAGGCTGAGGCCGAGGCTGAAGGCAGACTGAGGCTGAGGCTGAAGCAGGCTGAGGCTGAGGCTGAGGCAGGCTGAGGCTGAGGCTGATGCAGGCTGAGGCTGAGGCAGGCTGAGGCTATGGCTGAGGCTGATGCAGGCTGAGGCTGCGGCACTGAGGCTGAGGCGGAGGCTGAAGGCAGACTGAGGCTGAGGCTGAAGCAGGCTGAGGCAGGCTGAGGCTGAGGCTGAGGCCGAGGCAGGCTGATGGAGGCAGGCTGAGGCTGAGGCTGAGGCTGAGCAGGCTGAGGCTGAGGCAGGCTGAGGCAGGCCGAGGCCGCGGCAGACTGAGGCTGAGGCTGAAGCAGCTGAGGCTGAGGCAGAGGCAGGCTGAGGCTGAGGCTGAGGCAGGCTGATGCTGAGGCAGGCTGAGGCTGAGGCTGAGGCTCATGCAGGCTGAGGCTGAGGCAGGCTGAGGCTGAGGCCGAGGCTGAAGGCAGACTGAGGCTGAGGCTGAAGCAAGCTGAGGCTGAGGCTGAGGCAGGCTGAGGCTGAGGCTGAGGCAGGCTGATGCTGAGGCAGGCTGAGGCTGAGGCTGAGGCTGATGCAGGCTGAGGCTGAGGCAGGCTGAGGCTGAGGCCGAGGCTGAAGGCAGACTGAGCTGAGGCTGAAGCAGGCTGAGGCTGAGGCTGAGGCAGGCTGAGGCTGAGGCAGGCTGAGGCTGAGGCTGAGGCAGGCTGAGGCTGAGGCTGTGACTGCGACTGCCGTTGCCACTGCGACTGTCATCGCGAATGCGACTACGACTGCGAGAACAGCAGAATTCTACAACTGGATTCTCATCCGAATCTTAAGGGGAATGCTTCCAGATATGCTCCTACACATCGATGTTAGGTTGCTTTGCCGGGATAATTTCTACACCCCCTCGTCGGGGCCAGAATCCTCGTGAGGGTCGTCGTTTTGGGGCCCTCCCAGGAGTCGGAAAAGACCCCCAACGACCCGCGGGAATCCCTCTCCAGACCCAGGGGGAGGGGGTAGGGGGAGGGGTAAACCCCTTCCCGAAGAGGAAGAAGGGGGGTTGAGGACAGAGGGGGTTCTCTAAACCACTCACGCCCAAAGGGCTGGTGAGTCGTTCGGGGTCCTCGTGGTGTGAGTCGGTCGGGCGCCTCGTCCTGGTATGAGTCGTTCGGGCCCCTCCTTGTGGTGTGAGTCGTTCGGGCTCTTCGTGGTGTGAGTCGTTCGGGCCCCTCGTCCTGGTGTGAGTCGTTCGGGCTCCTCGTGGGGCCTCTTGGGGGCCTCTAGGGGGCCTCTTGGGGCCTCTTGGGGGCCTCTTGGGGGCATCTTGGGGGCCTCTTGGGAGCCTCTTGGGCGCCTCTTGGGAGCCTCTGGGAGGCATCTTGGGGCCTCTTGGGGGCCTCTTGCGACCTCCGCAGAAGCGCAAATGAGCGCGAGCCCCTTTGGGGGGCTTGTATGAGCGCTGCCCCTCCTCCTGGTGTGACTCGTTCGGGCTCCTCGTGGTGTGAGTCGTTCGAGGCCCGCGTCGTGGTGTGAGTCGTTCGGGGTCCTCGTGGTGTGAGTCGGTCGGGCGCCTCGTCCTGGTATGAGTCGTTCGGGCCCCTCCTTGTGGTGTGAGTCGTTCGGGCTCTTCGTGGTGTGAGTCGTTCGGGCCCCTCGTCCTGGTGTGAGTCGTTCGGGCTCCTCGTGGGGCCTCTTGGGGGCCTCTAGGGGGCCTCTTGGGGCCTCTTGGGGGCCTCTTGGGGGCATCTTGGGGGCCTCTTGGGAGCCTCTTGGACGCCTCTTGGGGGCCTCTGGGAGGCATCTTGGGGCCTCTTGGGGGCCTCTTGCGACCTCCGCAGAAGCGCAAATGAGCGCGAGCCCCTGCGAAGGACAAGATGAGCCCCAAACCTTCGTAAAATCAATGATTTTGAGAAGAAGGAAGAGGAGCGCTGCCCCCTCAGAAGGCCAAAATGGGGCCGAAACCGTAGTAAAATCAATGATTTTGGCTTCACAGAAGAGGAGAGGGTTTTTTTCAGAGCCCCCCCGTCGGGGCCAGAATCCTCGTGAGGGTCGTCGTTTTTTGGCCCTCCCAGGAGTCGAAAAAGACCCCCCCTGAGAACACTCGGGACTCCCTGTCCAGGCCCAGGGGGAGTGGGTAGGGGGAGGGGTAAACCCCTCCCCGAAGGGGAAGAAGGGGGGTTGGGGGGTTGAGGACAGAGAGAGCTCTCTAAACCACTCACGCCCAAAGGGCTGGTGGGACTCCTCCCTGTCGCACCCCGCGGCGTGTCGGTAGGGCGGGCCGGGCTTTTCGTTTTGAGACTTTCTCGCCATTAATGATCTTCGAGCTGAAACTTTGCAAGGGCTTCACGGATGGAGGGCGGCCCATTTTCAAAATGTGGTTCTCGCCGTAGCGCCGCGCACATTTTTCTTCAAAACACATTGGGGGTGTTTCACGGGTGGAAGGCGGTTCTCGTCTTGACGCCGTGCACACTCGTTTGAAACATTTACATCCGTTTCAAGGGTTATCATGGCTAGCGTTCCAGAAACGGCGTTCGGGCACGATGTCGGACTTTCAGGGCGCAACAGTTACGCCGATTGGCGGTGTTGAAGTGCGAGGACTGGTTTTCTGGCACGGTTCAAGATCGTCAAACAACGACAGTAGCGGTGTTTCACGGCGTTGAAGTCCCAAGGACGGTGTTCTGGCACAGCTAAGGATGTTCAAGCGGTTGTCTTCCAACAGGGCATTCCATTTAGTGGGAATGAATTATTGTAGGGGCTTGAGAAAAAGGGAGCTTGCAGGGAGGGTTTATTAAATTATCGTTGATGAGTCTTGGGCCGCGGGTGCGGGCGGCGCGGTGGCAGACGGTTGCGGGATGGCGAGGCGGTCGCGGTGCACGCCATGAAGAGGGGCTAGCAACGGTGCGGAGCAGGAAGGCAACCCATGCTCCCAGGAGGCGGGGCATGGTGCTCGGGCTGCAGCTGTGCGTGCTGGGCGAAGGCGGCGGATGCAGCGCCGCTGGAGGCCCCGATAGTGGAGATCGTAATCCATCGCTGGGAGGGTCAGCCAGCCGCAGCTGAGCGGACGGATGGTGCGCGGCGGGCACGCGGAGGGCGAGGGCGCAGCCTGCAATCAGTCGGAGGACCAGCTGGGGGTCGGCGACGGCGAGGGCGACGAGGAACAGGAGTCCGAGGACAAGTTCAAGGAGATCTACGGGTACGCGGAAGGCCACGGGGGAAGGCAGGGCGCCGCACCCAGCGGCCCCAGGCGGCAGGCGGCGACTGCGGCGGCGGCAGCCGAGGAGTGGCAGGTTGTGCAGGGCAAGGCGGGATGCCGTCGGAGGCACGAGCGCTGGGGTGCCTCCCAGGCGCTTGCCACCTGTTCCGCGGAGGCATGGGCGGCGGTGGAGGCTGGCAGGCGGACCCAAGGGCGGCGGTGCGCGGCGGCGGAGCTGGCGCAACGGTGCGCGAGGGGCTGGTTGTGTCGGCGACCCGCCAAGGTGGCGGCGCCATCCGAAAGGCTACCTGCGACACGGCGGTGAAGGAAGCGAATGCGGCGGAGGAAGCGGACGGGGTGGTCGACACCAAGGAGCAGTTGAGGGAGGCGAAGGCCGCCAAGGCGATGGCGCGGGTGAAGTGGGCGGCGGCGCTCTCCAAGGCTCGCGCGAGGCCGAAGGCGGAGGAGGTGGCGGCAGCAAAGGTCAAGGCAGAGGTGCACAAGCTGCAGGCGAAGTGCAAGGGCTGCTTGGCGGACGGCTTTCAGCACGCGGGGGAGCTCGACGTGCAGATGGCCGCACGGCTCCGCGGCAGCAAAAATGGCATGCAGAAGCAGCTGCAGGCGGCCAACGAGGACAGGAAGCGCGTCCGCGGAGCCCTACGCGTGGTGGTCTGTAGGGTTGTGCGCTCGCGGGTTGCGGTGCTCGGCGGCTTCACCAGCGAGGCGGGCCACGCCGACATGGGCAAGGCGGTCGGGCATGAGGCCTGGCGCCGCATCGAGGTCGCCGTGGAGGTTGCGAGCCGAAAGGGGTGGCGGTATGGTGAAGTGCGCCAGCACATCAAGGAGTGGGCCGAGGAGATCCACCTGGGCAAGGGCGTGGAGGAGGCAAGGGGGGAAGACACCATGGAGGGCTCCGAGGCCTCAGTGGGCTGCGTCGGCCTGGGGGACGGCGACCAGGTGCTCGTGGGGAGGCTCGGCGGTGGGCGTCGCGGCCGCCAGCCGACGCCGCGGCCGCGGCGGCGCGAGGAGGTAGATGTGCGGTGGTCCGCGAGGCAGCGCGAGGGCGGCTCGGCGGCCGCGGGGGGGGCGGCGGCGGCGGGGGGGCAGGGGAGGTGCCTCGGCGGGCCGGAGAGAAGATGTCGGCGAGGGCTGAGGGCTGAGGAGGTTAGCGGTGGTCCGGGGTTGCCCTTAAGCCCCCCCGCCCGCGGGCGGCGCCGCGGCCCCTCACTCAACGAGGTGTGCCGCGCGGGGTTCAGAAACTTGCGCGGGCAGGTTGAACGCCAGCAGCGCTGGTCGGGCGCGGGTGGCCGCGGGCGCGTCGCGCGCAGTCGCTCGGCGAGGGCGCGCCCCCTCGCCACCGTCGAGAAGCGTCGAGAAACGTCGTCATCGTCGTCGTCGTCGTCTTCGTTGTCCTTCTCCTTCTCCTTCTCCTCCTCCTCCTCCTCCTCCTCCTCCTCCTCCTCCTCCTCCTCCTCCTCCTCCTTCTCCTTCTCATTCTCTCTCTCTCTCTCCTTCTCTCTCTTCACGGCCTGTGGTCATCCTGTCCTCTCCTCCTCCTCCTCCTCTCCTCCTCCTCCTCCTCCTCCTCCTCTCCTTCTCCTCCTCCCCTCCTCCTACTCCTCCTCCTCCTTATCCTCCTCCTCCTCCTCCTCCTCCTCCTCCTCCTCCTCCTCCTCCTCCTCCTCCTCCTCCCGCCGCCGCGCTGGTGGAGGCGGCCGTGCGCGGCGCTGTCCTGGGGGGCGCCCCACGCCGCACTGTCGCGGCGGTGGCAAGGTCGGCCGTCTCGGCCGCGCTGTTCGCTCAGCGCGCCGAGGATGCCGTGCCGCCGCCTCGCGACGCTGCCGCTGGAGGCGATCCTCCCCCTGCTCATCCTGGAGTTCCTCGCCCTGGCCCTGCTGGTGCTGCGGTCGCCGAGCCCGCGGCGCGCGCCGCGCGGCGGAGGCGGCGCCGCCAGCGCCGCGCGGCGAGGAAAGCGGCGGCGGGCGCTCCTGCTGCCGTCGTGGTGGAGACGACGGAGGTCGACGTGGCGGCCGCGGGTGCGGCGGCTGGCTCTGCTGGCACCGGCCTCGCGCTCGTCCAGGTGGCGGGGGCTGCTGGCGTCGCGGACGCCGACGACGACTCCATGTCCGACGACGCCTGGGCCGACGGCTTGCGGCGCTCGGCACCCGGCGCTGTCCCCTCGGGCGGCGCCGACGCGCGGGCTGGTGCTCTGGCGGCGCCTGCTGCGCCCTGCGAGCCTGTGTCTGCTGCTGCTGGTGCGGCGGCGGCTGCGGGCGGCGAGGCGTGGCGGCTCGCACCGTGGGAGGAGAGGCACGCGGGGGAGGAGGACGTTCGGGTGGTCGCGGCGCGGGTCCTCGCGCAGAGATTGCCTCGCCCCTCCTGATGCTCGGGGAGTCGCTGGTGCGGTTCCTCGTGTTCCTGGTGCTCGAGGAGTCGCTCGTGCGGATCCTCGTGCTCGCGAGCGTGGAGCTTTCCCTCTCCCGCTCGTCGGCGTGGTACGCGTACTACGTCTGCCTTGACTGCATCATCGGCACGGTCGGGGGGTCCAGGTCTGGTCAGGTCCAGGCCTGGCCCCCCGCTGACCTCTGGTGTTGTCAGGGAGCGGCGCATGTAAATCCTCTTTCCCTCGGCCCGGGGGCTTCCGAGTCCGCAGGGAGCCCCCGGGCGGACGGCGAACGCCGGCGCGCGCCGCCGCGCCCCGCCGCGCGCCGCCGCGCGCCGGGCCGCGCCGCCGCCAGCCTGCGCCCTGGCCGTGCGCGCGTCGGCCGTCAGTGGCTGGCCGGCGAGCCCCTCGGGGCGCGCGAGCACCGCGTGGTCGCGGGTTCTGCTCCAGCCCTCGTGCACTGAGTGCGCCTTCGCGCGGTGCAGGGCCGCGCCGTTCGCGAAGGTGCGGAGGAGGACCACCTCGCGCTGCGCCCGCAAGCCTTGCGCACGCAGGTCGTGGAGCGCTGCCATTACAGGTGGGTCTCGAGGTGGCGTCTCGCCGCGTGCGGGGCAGTCGTCTGCTCCTGGCCAGGCTGGCTGTCGCCTCGTCTTCTTCGCCTCGCACGAACGGCAAGGTGCTCCCTACGGCCGCCGTCGCCCTGGCCACCGGGGCCGGCAGGGGCAGGTCGCGGGGGTTCCACACCTTCGTGCTGCGCGGGCTGAGGCGGAGCCCCTTCGTGGCGCAAGGGCTGGGGCACGACCAGCGCGGCGGCCAGCGCGCGCGCGGGCTGCCCGCGACGTAGACGTCGTCAGGGTACGCGACAACGCGGGCAGCAGGGTCCTCGCGCCACGCCTCCAGCGCCGCGTAGAGAGGAGCCGCTGCCACCGTTTTAAAGGCGGGCGACAGGGTGCACCCTTGGTCTACGCCGCGCTCGGCCCTGACCTCCGCCACTCCGGCGCCAAGCCTCGTGCACGGGAGCGCCGCCGTACCACGCGGACGCCAATCGCGAGAGTTGCGGCAAACGCGCGACCACCTCCGCGAGGACCGGTCCAGCTCGTTGAAGGTGCTGGCCACGCCCAGGGAGCGGACTGCGGCCTGGGGGTCCTTCTCTGCCGCGGCCGCCACCGCGCGGTGCATCAGCTCGATGCCGTTTGTGCGACCTGCGACGTACTGGTGCCACCCCACTGCTGCAGCAGTGGGCTCTTTGTGCGCGGTTGTAGCCGCCATCGCTGCCATCCGGCGCGGTGTTTCTCCGCAGGCCAGGGGCCGCACGCCGCCGGTCGGCTTGAGCAGCGGGGGCAAGCGTCCAGCAAGGACGGCCTGCGTGGCCCGCTCTGGAGCCCGGGCTTGCAGGACGAGCACGAGCGCCTGTGAATGGCACAGCTCCTTTAACCCTCCTCGCGGCCGCGGAGGGCCGCCCAGCGCCCGAGACGAGCGCCTGACAGCCCGGGAACGGAATGGCGCGGGTGTTTCCCGAGAGCGCCCGCTGCCCTCTCGGCGGCGTCGGCCGCCCAAGGCGCAGGCGGCGCCGCCGGGGGCGGCGGCGCGGCGCCAGCGACCGGCACTTCAGCGAAGAGGGCGGCAGGGCCGCGGGCCACGGCAGGGGGCCTGCGGCGGCCGCGGCGGCCCGGCCAGCCTCGCCCAGCACGAGGAGCTCGCGCGTGCGGCGCGCCAGGGCCTCCGGGCTGCGGCGTGTCTGGCGGTCGGCGGCGGGCCAGCCCGGGTCGTGCCGTTCAGCTGCCCGCCAGCGCTGCCCAGTCGCCTGCCCAAGCCCGGCGGAGCCGCCCAGGCAGCACTTGTGCGGCAGACGGGCGATCCTCGCTGCTGGCGGCCGGCGGAGTGGCGAGCAGCAGCCGGCGGGAGCGAGAGGAGCTGGGCCCGAGCTGTGGTCAGCACCAGGCAGGTCGAAGCCCGCCCACCAGGCCAGTCCGGGGAGCTCGCCCGCCTCCGCTGCCAGAGCGTGCCGCGGCTGGGGATCGTTGGCCGGAGCGCCGGCGGCGGTTAGAGGTCCGTTCTTGGCGGCGGCACCATGCAGGCCAGAACCTTCGCGCGCGCCTCTGGCAGCGCCGCGAGTCCTTCCACGCTGCCCGCAGAGATCCCGCCCGCAAGGCACGTGGGGTGCCAGAAAGACTAGTCAGGCGAATGGCCCAGTTCGCGAGCCGCACCGCATTCGGAACGAAACCGTGGCAGCAGACGTGGCATGCCCTCAGACCCGACGTTGCAAGGCAAAAAACGAGGAACAAAAAAAAAGCAGAGAACAAATCACGACCGGACCACCGGACTTCATGCTTTGCGTTATTGTCCGAGCCAGCTCGATCTGTGAGGATCCCAGGGCCCGAAATTGAGCGAAAACGCCCGGCTCGACAAAATTGAATCGCCAGGATCTCAGGGTGCCGCGACGCACTTACGCGGGGCCTGCAGGCCGGCGACCCACGTGCGCACCCGGGAAGGGCGCCCGGCGGCAGCCGCCGCGGGCGGCCCGTCGGCGGCAGTGGCGCCAGTTGTCGCCGCTCGGGGAGACTTCCAAGGGGCCGCGCGCCTGCTGCCGCGCCGCGCGAGGAGGCCGGGGCTGTCGCGCCTGCCTCCTCCAGAACCTCATCTGTCATCTAGGGGATCGACTCCAGGGATCGACTCCCGAATTGATGTACCCCACAGTGGATGTGCTCGTCGAGTCCAAGAGAATTGCGTTGGGTGTCCGTAGATCTACGAGCATTCTACGTATGACTCGACGAGGAAATCCAGCTCAGGGTTAAACAATTCTGTAGTCGATCGATCCCTTACTCGAATCAGGAACACCAGCACCAGCCACCTCAGGCGGGCCGCCGGCATGCAGCGGCGCCAGGGTGCAACCGAGGGGGGCTGCCGGCAGATGCGAGCTCGCCGCTGCGACGCGCTGGGAGGCGGAGTCCCCCCGCGCGCATCTTCGTCGTCCTGCCGCGGCCCCTCGAGGTCGCTCCTGCGCTGCGGGCGCCAGAGGTCCCTCTTCGTCGTCCTGCCGGCATGCAGCCGCGCAACCAGTCGTCTCCATCGAGGTCGCTCCTGCCGCCCGCGTCGCAGGCCAGAGGTCCCTCTTGCCTGCGCCGTGGGCGGCTCCCCACTCGTGGTGCGGCGCCCCGGGTCCGCGGCCATGGCAGGGGCCGCGGCCCCTGGCGAGGGGGGGGAAGAGCGAAGGCAGAGGGGGAGAGTGAGTTCAAGCGGGCGAGGAGGGACCGTACATGGACATTGCATCCGAACCCTGTGGACCCCAGACCCCCCGAAATGAATATTGATGGCGTGGCGACGGGGGGGGCGTGAGTGGGCAGAAGTATGCGAACCCCAAAGCGCCGCCTTTACTGAGGTCAACATTGATGTCGGGGGCGCGGGGGGTGATTTCGAATCTCCCTCGAATGTGTAGGGGTTCGAATCTATCGTCCATCTACTGGAGCGCCCGGCCGGGCAGCGGCTTGAGCCTACCGTACACTTGGTTTCGACCCCGCCGCCGGGCCTTTCCTCGATGCATTGTCACTCTCGTATTCAGCCTGGCCTGGCTCGGCGAGCGCTCTGAGCCGCGGGGGCTCGCTGCCCGCTCGCGACCTGGTGCGTGCATGCACGAGCGCACCCCAGCGAAACCGACGCATCAGGACAAGGATCCATCCAAGGGTACCCTTGCATCCTTACCTCCCGGCCCTGGCAACGGGTCATGAGCTTCCAACTTCGGCTGCGATGCGGGCGCCCAGGGGCCTTGCACGCTTACCGGGCATCCTTGTGATCCGGTCGCGAGGCAAGGGTGGGAGGGAGGGGCGGCTGGCCAGTCCGCCGCAAACACAAGGCTTGCGCGCATCAGTGTCTTTGACATACAAGTGCAACGTCCTTTTGTAGCAGCTCATGGGGGCCTTGTAAGTCCTCGCAAGTCCCACTTTCAGAGTACACTAGCGTGCGCCAGCCTCTGGCAATCGATGAGAAAGCACCGAACTGGCGTCGACTAGCGCCGATTTAGCGTCGAACAGCGTCGTCTAGCGTTGGTGGGCGACGATGTCTATGAGCCAGCAAGATGACATGGGAGGCTCAGCTGAGTTGCCACAGAACAAGGGGCGGAGGATAGGTCCAGCTGGGGATGCATCGACCCCCCATCGCCCCTTCATCGCCGACGGGTGCCTGACAGCCCACCCCGCCCAGGAACATGCAGTTTGGCTATCGGGGTCCTATCTCGCCGATCCATCGGCGATGTATCGCCGATTCCAGGTCGACTTGTTTCCCCCATCCTCCTCCTCCTCCTCCTCCTCCTCCTCCTCCTCCTCCTCCTCCTCTTCCTCCTCCTCCTCCTCCCCCCTCCCCCCTCCCTCCGTCCCTCCCTCCTCCTCCCTCCCTCCCTCCCTCCCTCCCTCCCTCCCTCCCCCCTCCCCCCTCCTCCTCCTCCTCCCTCCCCTCCCTCCTCCTCCTCCTCCTCCTCCTCCTCCTCCTCCTCCTCCCCTCCTCCTCCTCCTCCTCCTCCTCCTCCTCCTCCTCCTCCTCCTCCTCTCTCCTCCTTCACCTCCTCCTCCTCCTCCTCCTCCTCCTCCTCCTCCTCCTCCTCCTCCTCTTCCTCCTCCCCCTCCCCTGTCGGTGGCGAACACTGCCATGCCCTCCTCCTCCTCCTCCTCCTCCTCCTTCTCCTCCTCCTCCTTCCTCCTCCTCAGCGTGCGTTCTTGTCTTTGGCGCGCAAGCGCGGTGCTCCTCGCCGAGGGAATCGCAGCGTCGAGGAAGGGGGAGGTGTTCCTGCGCCGCTTGGCTCAGCGCGACGTACAGCGCTTCGGAGCCGCCGCGGCCTCCTCGCGTGCGCCGCCTGGCTCAGCGCGAAGAGGCGCTTCGGAGCCGCCGCGGCCTCCTCGCGAGGAGGAGGAGAAGGAGGAGGACGAGGAGGGGGAGGAGGAGCAGGAGGAGGAGGACGAGGACGAGGAGGAGGAGGAGGAGGTGGCACCTTATCATCATCCTTCCCCCGCGCGCTGGGAGAAGGGAGCAAGGGAACGCCAGGAGCAGGAAAAGGAGATGGAGGAGGGGGAACAGGGCAGTTCCAGCGGCTTGGAAGCCCAGGCTCTCGCGATCGCGCGGCGCATCTCAGCGCAGGCGCCGCCGCGAGCAAGGCGGCGGCGCACCGGCGGCCTACAGAACTGTACAGGGCGCGTTCGCCGGGCGGAGAAAGCATGCAACATGGTGTCGTGCTTCCCCGTTCGTTCTCTGCTCCTTCGCCGATCCGTCTCGTCACTATACGTCTCCTCCCGATACGCTATTGGAAAGGGGAGGGAAAAGAGGGAAAGGAGCGGAATGGGGAGAGGAGAAAGGGGGAATAGGAGAAGGTGGGGAGAGGCACAGAGAAACTGGAAGCCAGAGGCGCAGTCTGACACACCTCCCTATAACGCGGGTCTCCAGCACAGGCGCTTTAGCACACAGAGGAGAAGCGCACCAGCAAAGCAGCGCCGCAGCCCTGAAGGACGCAGATGCGGACGCAAGGGGGTCTTCGATGAGAGAATTGTTATAAGCTCCAGCAAATCGTCAGTTCTCGCGTGTGTGGGTTACGGCAAAAGAGGAGCAGTAAGACAAGGGCGCGGAGGAAGAGCGGCAGCAGGATGAGCAGCAGGAGCAGGAGCAGGAAGAAGACAAGGTTAAGGGGAGGAAGAGGAAGGTTGGATTGTACACGTCGGGGAGGGGAGTGACAAACAAATCTTTTTCAAAGTTTCCCTAAGCTGGGAGTGGCAGGAGGAGGAGGAGGAGGAGCAGGAGCGGGATGAGGACCAGTGCAAACCCAAGACTCATCAACGGTGTTGGAATGAACCCTCCCTCCACGCTCTCTCTTCATCGGCCCATACAAGGGTTCATTTCCACTGAGGGAAGTGCCCCGTCGGGAGACAACCGTCTGAAGACCCTGACGCGTGCCAGAACACCATTTTCGGGACTCCGACGCCACGAATAACGTGGATGATGCGTCTTGGCGATCCTGAATCGCGCAAGAACACCATTCCTGGGACTTCCACACCGCGAATCAACGTAACTGTTGCTCCCGGACAGTCCTCAATCGCTTCAAAACACGAACCGCCCTCCATCTGTGAAAGCCCTTGCAATGTTTGAAGAGAATGCGCGCGGCGCTACGGCGAAAGCCACATGTTGAAAACCACCCGCCCTCCATCCGCGAAGCTCCTGCAACTATTTAAGAAAAGTGTGCGCGGCGCTGAGGCGAGAGTCAAAGTTTGAAAACGAAGCGCCCTCCATCTGTTAAGCTCTTGCGATTTTTTAAGACGAGTGTGCGCGGCGCTAGGGCGAGAGCCACATGTTGAAAACCACCCGCCCTCCATCTGTTAAGCTCTTGCAACTCTGTTGAAACATCGTGCTCAGCGCTGAGGCGGGACCCACATGTTGAAAACGACCCCCCATCAATCCGTGAAGCTATTGCAAAGTTTACAGACGAATGTGCGCGGCCAAGTGGAGAAAGACACATTTTGAAAACCACCCGCCCTCCATGCTTACGTTTCAGGGTCATCAGCGGTGAGGAAGACTCAAGCGAAGCGCTCGGCCCGGCCTTTGACTCGCCTCCTGGCGCGACAGGGGGGAGTTATGTATAGGCAAAAGGATGGAGGAGGAGGAGGAGGAGGAGGAGGAGGAGGAGGAGAGGAGGAGGAGGAAGAGGAGGAGGAGGAGGAGGAGGAGGGGAGGAGGAGGAGGAGGAGGAGGAGGAGGAGGAGGAGGTGGAGGTGGAGGTGGAGGAGGAGGCGGACGGGGACAGGGGCGGGGGCGAGAGCGACAAGGATAAAGGCAAGATAGATGGAGATGGCGAAGGGGGAAGGAGGAGAAAAGAAAAGGAGGAGGAAGGACGCTGAGGAGTAGGAGGAGGACGAGGAGAAGGACGAGGCGGAGGAGGAGGGGAGGGAGCTGCAGGGAACAGGAGGGAGGACAGGTGAGAAGGGAGGAGGGAGGATGAGCGAAACAAGAGGAAGCAGGAGGGAACTAGGAAGGGAGGAGCGAGGGGGGGAAGGGAGCACGGGGGAGGAGGGAACCGGGAAACAGTAAGAGGAAGGAGGAGCGAACAGGAGGGAGGGAAGAAGAGAGGGGGTGGGAAGGGAATCGGGAAAGGATTGCGGGAACGGGATGACGGAGAAGAAATGCAGGAGAAAGAAGGAGATACGGAGGAAGAGTACACAGCAGGAGGACCGACGACGGATCAGGAAGAGGGGAAGGAAGGAC